TAGTTTAGGGAAACTGAAGAGTTAATGTGGGACATATTGAGTTTGAGGTATAAAAAAAATTAGATATGAAGAAGCAGAGAGAGATGGGAGTTTTAAAAAAAGTAACGATAGTTTCAGATATGACACAAAGTATTTGACTGATTTATTACAGACACCGACCAACAAGAACAGATGATATCCAAAAGCAACTCGTATGTACAGGCCAATGCACACTAGATGAACGATCAAGCCTGGAAAGCTAGGCCCTTGAGAGTTGACAAGTATCAAGAGATATTGAATTCAAAGTTACAACTTTGGGCAGTCTACCCATCTATATGATAGATAGGTCAGGTAGGAGGGAGCATATAAAGAGGTGCCTGACCACTGCAGTGCACACCTGAAGCTGAATAATAATGAATGTCAACTATAATTATATATATATATAATGTATTGATATATATATATATATATATATAGTCACAGGATGTGGAGTACAGCATAAGGAATACAGTTAGTGGAACTGTAACAGCTATATATGATGTCAGAGGGGTAGTAGATTGGGGGAGGGGCTTATCATTTTGTGAGGGGTGTAAATGTCTATTACATTGTTTTGTACACCTGAAACTAACAACAACAACAAAAAAAAGCAAGAAAGAAAGAAACCTTCTCAAATTCACCTGAAAATAAAAAACATATAGGGAGGAAAACGTGCAAGGAGAACAAGAGACTAACTGGATACAGATGACTGTTAGAAAGAAAACAGGAAGAAGACTGACTAAACAGTGGATGACATAGGGCTGATGGTGATAAAGAGTTGGGAGTTCAAGAAGCATTATTTGAACTTCATACTTGACTCAAGGTTCCAAATGATAAAAGGTAAGAACATGACCTTAGAAGTTAGATAAAGTAGTTTAAATCCTAACCTTGCCATTTATGGGCTTTGTGACCCTGGAAAGTAATCTCTGTAAATTTATCTATGAACTAGAAAAAGTAATGTGTACCTAGTGAAATTTTTATGATGACTAGACAAATGAATGCAAATACAGCTGTTATCATAGTGCATGGATATAGTAAGAGCTCAATATATTTGGATGCTGTGAAATCGTTGTTATGTATTGGTCACTTTTGCTGCTGGTACTTGAAATTGCTATAAACCCATGCTCTCTTCCTGTTTTCGTGTATTATCACTTGGACATTCTCCTGTTTTCCATTCTACTCTTTCTAAATTCTAATAATACTTTATAGTTCTCAGAATTGTTTTCATATCCCCCAGAGGAATAGATGGTAATAAGGAATCTGCTACTGTTTCCACAATTTCTTTCTTTTTTCTTTCCTTTAAACTCTTAAGAGCTTCTGGTAGACCACGTGTTGATTTTAAAATAACTTCTCATCATTGCCTCATCAGTTAACCCTGAACTGTTCTTTCCAAAGCAAATAAGTGTTTTTCACAGTGCATTTTAGGATGCTAATAAAATAAGGGATAATTTGCAGACACAATTTGGGGCATTTTACTAGCACCCCAGCATAGGTGGAGATATGAAAAAATATAATAAGCTCAAACCAAGGGTCAGGCATTGTCATATGTTTTTTCATTTAATCTTAATTTTCATCATAATCAATCTAAAGAGCTTTGAACTCTATAGACAGGCATTAAAACAACTAAAGTATATTTATATCCTGTGAAGTAAAATCTGTCAACAAATCCTTGACACCAATAAAAAAACAAAAAAATAAGAACTTGAAATAGTTGTTATGTCTACTCCCCAGTAGTCTTCCTAAAATGGTTCACCTTAGAGAAACTATTCACAGGTATTAATATCAATGCTCTGTTTCCCACATATAGTATTTCCTGTATTGCCCTACAATGAGGAAATTTTATTTTAAAGCTCTAATTGTTACTAGAATGTGCTAAACAAGGTGCTGTGGGATTTCCTTAAAAATATGAAATAGAGCATTTGATAATATCCTA